CTCCCTTAAAACGGCTGGGTCCGGGAAGGCCAATGCCCAGCTAGGAGTGACTATTGGGATAAGCTGTCTGAGAGGCAGGAGGCCAAAAAATGCACAATAGCTCACTTAACAAATATTTGAAAGCAGCATTATTTGTGTTAAATAATGTTTCCACCAATTTAAAATCCTTATTTTATTTGTATTTTTGGGAGTTTGTTAACCCTAGCCAGCTGGGTTGGCTTTCTGAATTTGGGTATGCTTTGCATTGGAAGATTCGGGCAGGGTTTCAGAGCGCAGGATTGTCAAAGCACTAGAGAGCCAAATAAGACAGGAAGAGAAAGAAAGATTTTTATTATTTTTTTTGTGTGTGTGTGTGTGTACATAAGCAGTCCGTGAAGAGGGAACATACCCGCAAAACAGAAACAAGTATAAAGGCGTACATCTTCTATGAAAAAGGACCACATAGTCCTCCCACTCAGTTCTGGCGTCTCAGAGGAAGGAGCCAAGCTTTGCTATTACTCACAGCAGACGTCCACACAACAGCACTTTACAGGGACTATAGTACTCCACACACAGGGAGGAGCTGCACTGTCTGCCACATGCTTTGCATAACTGCCATGCTCCCCTAAACCCCATGCAGCTGCTGGCAGAATGCAGTGATCCCTCTGAACGCATGTGCCTGTGCTTCAAACATTTAACCTCACTGTTGAAAGCTGGCATGGCTTTAAGAGTAATCGATGACCAGCGCTCTGAAAGGCAGCTGGGTTTGCTTCCTCACTGCAGATGGAGAACTGGGATGCAGACAAGAACTGGGCAGTTGACAAATAATGCATCTTGTTGGGGTTTAAAGTAGTTTGTGTATTTTTAATCCTGTTATTTTAAGATTGCAGATTTAAGGCTTTTTACATTTGAAATAATTAACCCTAGGTCAGTTTTAAAATGTGGAAAGTGTATTTTACTCCTAATTGCTCATAATTTACGCAGGGTTAACACTTATCCATGAGTACTATTTAGCTTAAAGCAAAGTTTCTCAACCACATTCTTGTAGGTCCACCAACACTGCTTGTTTTGGATGTCTCCTTTGTCTGCCACACCCATTACAGGTCTTTCAGTCTCTGCCAATGAGCTGATCATCTGAATCAGGTGTATTTATTGAGGGAGACATGGAAAATGTGCAGAGTTGATGGTCCTCTAGGTAAGTGGTTGAGAAACACTGGCTTAAAGGGATTGTTCACTCAAAAATGAACATTTGCTCACTATTTACTCACCCTCAAGTGGTTTGAAACCTTTTATAAGTTTTTTTTTTTTTTTCCGATGAACACAAAGTTAAAAAAAAAAAAAAAAAAAGCTGCAAACCTGTAGCCATTGACTGCCAAGGTAGAAAAAAAAACATGAAAGTCAATGGTTACAAGTTTCAAGCTTTCTATAAAATATCTTCCTAACCTCAGAAAGGGTTTTAAAAAAAGTAAAGAATGAGTAAATTATGACATTAAGATTCATAATGTTCATGTGCCAGTGTCAGTGGTTGGACGAATGCAGCTATAAGGGATCTATTTACAGTACATACAGGCTCTGGCATTGCAAATCCTCATATAATATATTAACTACATTGATGATTGATGAATGAAGTTTTTTCTGAATTAACTATACAGTAAGGGTAAAAATGAAGATACTTCTAAAGTAGCATTACACACATTTCCAGCAAAAAACACCGTCAAAAACAATTGGAAAATAGAAACCTCACTGCCTACTAGTGTTTCGGAAGTGTTATTGTCAGAGCACCACAAACAAAATGCAAAAGTATAAAACTTGTGATAGCATTGGCTAAATGCAAGGTGCCGTGGAGTATGGCGAACACAGAAATACAAATCAAACTTAAATCATGTGAATATGAGGCACACGACTGAATGTTGGCAGGTAAGCTTCTAGCCATATCATTCTAACACTGCATCATGTCACACTGATGTTAGGCTCAAAAACTGAGCGACCACCGCTTCGGAGCAGCGTTTCATAATGCAAAAAAACTAGCGCTGACAATGATTCTAGTGTAGAGGGTTATGCATAATCTGTAAAATGTCCATATGACATAATAGGGAGACAAATATACGCCTAATGCTTATGAAAAAAATAAAATGCAGGTTAAAACACTGATATAATGAAGCCAAGCTTTTCACATATTTGACTTATGAACTTTCATCACTCTCCTGGATTTTACATTCACTCATAAATACTTGATAAGAATAATAATAAAAAAAAAACATAGTTCACTCTCTTAAATAGCCAATAAAATATTAAAGCCAGCTGCATCTATAAAATTACAAGAACCTGCCATCGTGTTTTAAAATGTCCTATATTTCCATGTCTTTCAGTCATTGAATAATTTGTACTCTTAAATTCCAGAAGAATACTTGCTAGATAATCACATTTAGAAAATGTAATTAAATTATTTCTCTGCTAAAGATATCATTCATTGTCAAAGCTTGGGAATCACAACACCTAGAGATGCCCATGCTTTTAATTACTGTGAGAACACTGTACAGTAAAGGACACTTCAAATCCACCATCCATTTATTGACATCAACATTTCACATACATAATTAATGCCTCAAGCTGAAATCAAATTCAGTCAGTCAGATAGGTTTAGGGGTAAATAGGATTATGTAGCATCACTCAATCCAGATGCTAAATATAATCGATGTACGACTAAAATCACAATAATCAGATCCATTGATTGTCAGTTGCAAAACAGACTGGGCTATACCTGAACCCTCAGCACTGTCAGCCCACTCTGTTAAGCCTATTAACACGCTCACACATGGTACGCAGGTGCAGACAGACTCTGAGAGGTGTGTTAAAGAACCGAAGGAGGCACTTGCAACCAGTAGGGCTGTTGACTGGGTGCTGAGAAACACAGGCTTTGTGATTTACGGGCAGAGAGAAAGAAGGCTGGGGGAAATCAATACATTGCTTCAGTCTCACGCTTGCTGCCGACTCATTAGAAGTGAAGCCTTGAGGAATGTGCTTAATTATCTCTGATTATTAATGGCCCACCTCTCAGACTGATTATCAACACACAGCATAGGGTATTTTGTCAAAAGATGGGGCAGAGGAGGGAAGCCACACGCACGCACTCCGAAAGGCAAATGCAAATACTGTCTTCCCTCTCTGTCTCTCTTGCATTCATCCTGCGCATTCGTAAACCGCCAGATCTGCAAGCCAGACTGTTTGAGATGTAAACACCTCTGGTCGAAGGAGTCATGTTTCACTGATATCCAGACCAAACCAGATCGGCTAGGAGTATCAAATACATGTCACTTCCAAGTTTTGGCATGACGGATTTTTATGAGTTTGAGCAGGAATTTAATCTAACATAGAGAAAACATCTCCAGTTGACAATGTAAAGTGTTTATTGTTGTATGTTGCATTAGTTTGATGGAGTGCTTGAACTTGATATTTATAAACTTGCAGATTGTTATCAGTCACGTCAAACTATTTGCATCATTGTACAAGATTCAAAGACTTATTGCAGAAAAATTTATTTTTTATTATAATAGTCTATGAATACATGACAATATTGTTGTTGGCCTATACCCTTAATATGCATTAATGTATTATTGACATCAAAACGATATCACTCGTTTTTGAAAAGGTGCTAATGTATGGAGTCATTTTGAAGCAAAGTTACATTCAACTTTTTAATATCTGAGGTTATGAGCATGGTGAAATTTATGGACTGATTTGTGGTCGGTGATGAATCCGGGCGGTGGCTGCTCATGAGATATTGGCGGGACGGCGCGTACCCTCACATGTGAGTAGTCATATACGAAGCCCATCCAGCTGCAGACCTGAACTAACCTCTATGGCATTACTTTAAGCAAGCCATGCCTTTAAATGGCGCGAAAAAGCAATAAGGCACGTTCAGTTGACGCATTCATCAAGTATTCCTGTCACACTAACGGTCAAACACTGCGCGCGACCTTGCCCTGCTGATCCTGTTTACAGTGTCGCGCGTGAATGATGAGCGGCAGCCGAAACTACAGGACTTCGGGTAAACAAGACAGAAATGCTGACAAACGGCTTTATGAACTTGTATTATGGCGTGATGTTAAATGTACTGTTTGTAAATGTGGGTGAATAATACATCACACTGACAATTGTAAACTGACAGGTGTACTTGCTCCGCAAGTCTGTCTCTGAGAGGAAAAAAAAGCTGATGCTACTACGACCCCAAGATGCGGATTGCCGCAAATACCATACATCCCGAAGACTCTGAAACTCCCCCAAAACACATGCAAACCCGATTAAGGGAGCTAGAAAGTACTTAAACAATTAGATTCACTCTCGGTGTGAAATCTAGGGTTTTTGAGCCAAAACAAAAGCTCCAATATAAACGACCACCTTACAGGAATAAAATATATGTTTTGCCTCAAAACTAACCATGCAACAGCCCTCCCAGCATAAAACAGCATAGCCTACATCAAAATAATCCACAATCAATATAAAACACAGAGCATAAAATACACCACAAGATTTAACACTAGTCTAGTATGCACTAAAAGCCATCGCATTTCCCCAAAAATCTAAATGGAGTCACCGAATACGTTTATGCTACGCATGGTTTTAAAATCCAACAGAGCCACACATTATGTAAAGTTTCCGATCAGGGGAAGCTGTATCAATTAAATCATATTATCATGGGGTGGTGAGTTTATCTATAACACATTTTGACTGGTAATCCATAAAAGCGGGGCTCTAGCTCAGCAGTGTGTGCAGGCTTATCCGTGATAAGATTCTGTATCAGTGTTGGGCAAACGTGCACCGCACAATTCCTTCAGAGCAATGATGACTAACAGGGAACTGTCCTCGTACTCACTCGAGGCCCTTTAAGGAGATATTGTGGAAATGCAAATCACCATCACCATTCCAGAGCATTACGCCTTTCCTACACGGTGCGTAATGATGATGAGCGCCCGGATTGCGAAACACCGCATAGGCTGCTTTAAAGTTTGAAGCGCTCTTACCTTTAAGGACGATCCCGCAGATGCTGTACAGGGTAAACAGCATATGCTGCTTCACCATCATATTGCCTTCCTTCTGTAACAGCTGCCCGCTTGCCGTCAACACACTTTCTTCGCTCTTTCGCTTCTCCGCGCGCTGATGATGAGGCTTATCCAGGTGCAGGCTGCTGCAATCAATACTACAGGCTCCTTCGATAACTTCTCCTCGGTTGAAGTCCCACTGCGTTTTCCGCACACCGTTCACTTGACGCTCGGACTGAGCTCGAGAAGTGCGAAGCGCTCCAACACAGTAGAAAAGTACAGCTCGCGCATCTATCGCCTCCTGGGAGCGCGAGAAGGCAGAGTCCCGCCTCCCCAGATTGACAGATGAGGACGGGGAGCCAATAGCGCGCGCCGAGAATTATTCTCCGCTCAAACTGCTTCTCGACTCCACAGTCCGTATGATTAAAGGATCGGGGAAATGTAATGTGAGCACGTGCAATGGCACGGATTGCCCCTTGTCTCGTTCTAATTCTTTGCGCAACGAGGCGATCCTGATATGAGTGGACTAATGATGATTTAGGCACGTTTGTGTGTGTGTGCGTGTGTGTGGATTTCATTACACAGGCATACAGCAGTCCTGAATGGACAGCAACCCTAGGATGTACGAGCAGCACACCTCTCACCGGGATCAAACAGACTTGTCTGTGCTCACAGTTTATACTGGTACAAACCACTAGGCGGATAATATTGCATCGTCGTCACAATCCAGCAAAGAGGGTTGCCTACCCTTTCCAGTGAAGGAAAAAAACACATTTTCTACCACGTCAACTTAAATGTCTTCAATAAATCATCACATCATAAACAGCTTGTACTGCACAAACTGCAATAATAATAGTACGCTAATCTCTGCTGCATAGTTAACTGTCATAACAGGTTAATTCTTATAATGGATCTCATTATAGGTTTTGTATCCATTTTATGAGAATAAAATGTTTGACAGTTTTACAAAATAACGTCAAAACACCAAATTGCACGGTCAAAATATTAAAGTGCGTGTAATATGAATTTAAATATACACATAGCCTAGTTCCTGAATAAAAAATATACACATTCATAACACAAGTAAAACAGAGTTCTGAAAGTTCTGAAAGACGCTCAAGAAATCATTTGTGCAATAACACGTTTAGCTCAAAAGCCTTGCAGTTAGAACTGAGAACTCACCTATACGGTCCACACAGGGCGCGCACACACACACACACACACACACACACACACACACACAGAGAGAGAAGGTATATAATTTGTAGGTCTTGTCGAGACATGCTCCCTTGAGTGGAAATTAAATGTCAGATCTTAATATTATGAAATGTATTTTATATCACACAGTGGCAGCAGTTTTATCTCGTCCACTGAGCTGAGGAGAACTTAAAAGAGGCAAATGATGATTTAACCAAGCATTCATATGAAAGAGGGATTGTTAAAACGAAGTGGGATTTCTTTTTTAAAGTTCTCAATGTTTCTGGTGCGATAACTCAGAAAAGTCACCTTTGAAAAAAAAAAAAAAACGGCTTAAAAAAAATCCAATTTAATTTCATTTTTAAAATGCGATTCCTCTTCCTGCAGGCAAAGATAAGTTTGATTCTGAAAAAGTTACACACTCCGATCGGAGGCTGCAATTCACCATAAAATTTCTTATCAAGTCTCTTCTCGTTTCTTCTACTTAGCTGACACATGTTCAGAAGGTCAATCTGCACAGCTCACAAGTTAATTCTCTTTGACCCTCACCTCAAACTAGATCATTCTGAAGGTGTTTCACAATAAATTCTCCTAATTTAGAAGTCATAATTGTGTAATCAGTGCCAAAACAGTGCACTATGACATATTGCTCAAGTCTGTATCATTTGTAATACTTGAAACAAGACTTCTAATATAATCTATTAAGTCTATACCATCCTTTTTATGCCTGTGGTTATGTGACACTCATCATCCCTTCCACAATATTTATAGTTGAATCACCCATTCAAATCATGAGATAAATCCATGATTCAATCAAACCACACTCAATCTCTCTCTCTCCCTTTCCCCGTTTCTCTTTATTATGCTTCCAGCCTGACAGATAAAAATCGCATGGCCCTAATAGATCATGTTTTAAAAGCTTTCCTCCCTGAGAGATACTCTAACATGGCTTCCTCCCTGCAAACAGTGAACACAGATGTCACAGTGAGTAAGAGCGGTGCCTCTCATAACTGTCAGCAGTACTGTGGCAGTGGCACATCCCCAAGGAGAACTGCACAATACGATCAAGAACCATGTGAACTAGCTAACATCAAGTCAGAAACGTAGTGCTGAATCAGAGTGCAGGCAGTTTCAATAAAGAAAACACAAAGAGAGTGCGGAGAAATTAAAGAAAACTATGAAACTTGAATATAACAAAGGTTTCATGTGGCTAATCAATTTTTACAAAAATAATTAACTGATTAAAATAATATATTAAAGACGCGCAGTCTTTAAAGTGGCGCAGTGGGTAGCACGTTCGCCTCACAGCAAGAAGGTCGCTGGTTCGATCCTCGGCTCAGTTGGCGTTTCTCAGTTTGCATGCTCTCCCTGTGTTCGCGTGGGTTTCCTCCGGGTGCTCCGGTTTCCCCCACAGTCCAAAGACATGTGGTACAGTTGAATTGGGTAGGCTAAATTGTCCGTAGTGTATAAGTGTGTGTGTGAATGTGTGTGTGGATGTTTCCCAGAAATGGGTTGCGGCTGGAAGGGCATCCGCTGCGTAAAAACTTGCTGGATAAGTTGGCGGTTCATTTCGCTGTGGCGACCCCGGATTAATAAAGGAACTAAGCCGACAAGAAAATGAATGAATGATATATATAAAAAATATTTAAAATGAGCTGAATCAACACAATTCTTGAGTTTTTTTTATGTTCAGTCAACTTAAATTCGTAAAAACAATTAGGTTAACTTAATTGATTTGTGTTGGGACAACATGAAGGAATTATGTGTGGAAGCCAGCATTTTTACAGTAGGTTAGAGCAGCACAATGTATCATTTCAACATCAATATCACAATGTGATCATTTGTATTAGTCACATCGTAGGATATATGCCTATAATGTTGAGATTGTAGTCTAATTTAGAATTTGCATGTGTTTTTGATGCCTGTGATTGTATATTGATTTTAAAAGCATTCATGTAAAAGAAATTGTACCATTTGTGACCTTAAACTAACTTAATATTTGTATTTTTTATCATTCAGTTCCTAAAGCCCCCCTGAATTAATATCACCCCTGTTTATTTTTGCCCAATTTCTGTTTAATGGAGGGAAGATTGTTTCAGCACATTTCTAAGCATAATAGTTTTACAAACCTATTTCTAATAACTGATTTATTTTATCTTTGCTATGCTGACAGTAAATAATATTTTACTTGATATTTTTCAAGACACTTCTATACAGCTTAAAGTGACATTTAAAGGCTTAACTAGTTTAATAAGGTGAACTAGGCAGGTTAGTATAATCAGGCAAGTTATTCTATAACATCTCGCAATGTTATTTTTTTTTCAATATTGTGCAGCCCTTTTTATTTTATTGTAACAAATGTGTGGGTGCAATACTTATACAGTTAACAATGGCTGATTAATTGTTTACAAAGTATACAATAATCCCATAACATCCACTTAAGTTATAATACATTTTCTCCTTTCATACTGTGATTTTGTGCTGTAATTTTTTTTAAATATTTTTTTTTATTTTCAGTAAGTTCATGTTACACGCAGAACAAAACACTGAGAGCTGCTAAAATTCTCTCATCGTTTACAAAAAAAGGCTTGTTAATATGCAAATGATAATGACTATGCAAGAAAACCACCGTAGGTCATTTGGAAAGAGACATGTGTACGCCGAATAACCTGAATAGCAAAAAGGCATTTGTGTGAAAACCAAAAACAGTAATAGGCCAAAAAAAAAAAAAAAAGAAAAAAAAAAGAAAAAAAACGGATGTCAATCAGCCTGAATATGTTATAATTATGCTTTTCTGATAAAGATTGCATTTAAGACTACAGTGAACTAAGCCAGATTGTGTCAACACACTCACACCCAAACTGTACAATTCTGATAAAGATTTATGCTGCCACAACATCACATTTTTAGGGGATTAATCAATAGAAGTAGACATGTGTGCTCAATTTAGTCTCTACCTGCTGCTCGGAGGTACCTGCAGTGGAAAATGAGAAAGAAGGAGCAGGAGAGCGTTTGAGTACAAATGCACTACAGTAAATCTCACTCCTAAAATGCCTTATTAGCTCTTTTTTTAATCCCACAAGCCACATTTTGGAATCTGTAAAACTACAGTACAGACCAGCAGAGTTGGTAAAATCTAGGAAGCAGAGAGCATTAAGATGTAATTGATAAATAATGGCTCTGCATTTTAATGCATCTCTGAGGATCATGTTTTCTTGAATGCATGAGGGTATCTCACTGCAATGTACTTAGACACAGTATACGTCTTCTACATGCACTTTCCATGAGGGAAATTAATTGAACACTATTAAAATTAACTAAAACCAATTATTCACTGGTCATCTTATACAGAATTCCACAGAAAAATGGTTTAAGTACCATTTCATAAAAATGAGACTTAAAATATGTTCTGCTTAACTAAATTTATGTACTTCCTCAATATGAATGTGGTAAACTCTTTGCAAAAAGAACAACAAAGATTAAATTGTGTTATTATTACTAATTTAATATGTAAAATGATTATATTTATCAATTTCTCAGTGAATATAGGTGATATATTTTGGTGCATTTGAACAAAACAGATTTATAAAACGAATATATTTATTAAAATAATATTTTTTGTCATTCAAAATCTTTAGAAATAAAAAAAATATTAATTTTAAATACATGCAAAATATTTGGAAAAAATACAAACTATACATTTTCAACAACATTTTATAATTTTTTTTTTTTTTTTTTTTGTTCCTGTTGATTTTTGTTCTTATTTTAATATTTTATTTAATGTTTTTTTACTAACATATAACATTGGGTGAACTAGTTTTTGGACTATTATCAAGTTATTTTGTTAGATTAGCTCCAGATTTGGCTTCAGTACTGACTAATTTAATGTATACAGAATGCAGAAATATAATATTGTAAAGCTTTCTATAGAAAATATTAATTTAAATGAGACATTTGTGAGGGGTGTACTCATAAATGTTGAGCACTGTATATATTACCAGTACTTTATATTGATATACACATACTTATTTACCTGTATAATTTATATTACCTGTACATTTATACTACCCATAGTCATTGATGTGGACTGGGGAGTACACATCTAGAAATTATAAGTTATAAAAACAAAAAGGAACAGAATTAGCAATAAGCATAGTTAGATTTGATAACTGGAGTACTAAAATAATAATATACATTTATTAGAGTTTTCATTAATGTTTTAAAGGTTTACCAAGGGAGCCTTTGGCCACATTATATTACATTATTTGGTTCAAGTGACCCAATTTACCCTTTGCAGGGAGTTAATATAGGCGGTTTTATGGGGTATTATGTGTCCATGTCGCTATTAAACATTTTGTCCAATAAACAAACCACATAGTACAGTCAGTAG